ACGTTTTTATTCTGATTTTGTGTCTGATTGTTGAACCACTGTTCAACATATTTTAAAAAGTCAAAGGTAGACCGAACATATGAATCAAACATTCTCTTCTGTTTATCCTTTTCAGCGTAGCGTGAGGCGAGGGCTTGGAGGCTTCCCAGCTTAAATCAAACATTCCAAACATAAAAAAAACCCCAACAAAAATAAAACATTCTGCTTTTCTGAGTATTTATTTGTTATATGCCACGACTCTACATCTAAAATGAAATATATCAATTCAACCTGTTATCTTGTGCAACCCCGTTACTCTAATTTTAGCCCTGTTACCGTAACAGTTAAATGTTTTTATTAGCCCACAATAGTGTATTTGAGCAAAGATTTGAAAATAAGTGCTGAAAACTTTATTTTTTTTAAAAAAAGAACAAAGCAAAATGTGTGTCTATTAAAAAGTAGGGCTTATTTTGATGGTAATATAAGTTAAACAATATTAATATTGACTTTTTCAGGTTTTAGAGTATTAGTTGTACCAATACTTGCATGACAGACGCCAATAAAATATCTTACTAAAGGTGTACCTTTGATACCTGAGTTGGAACAAGCTATTTTCTTGATGGTTTATTATTTGGTTTTCGTAAATACACAACATAAATAACGGATCAGTTTTTTACGACTTTTCAACACTTTACAATGGGACATTTGGAAACATGACAAAAGAAAGAAGAAAAAAGAAAACGTCAGACGTTCCGTTTCAAACCTTTCGTTTCCTATGGTACCTTAACGCTGCAAAAAAGCTCTAATGATTTGTGCTGAATCGCTTGTACTCTACGTAAATTACGTAAGCCTGTGCATCACCGACGTACTGACGTCTATTTTCAGGCGCAGGTTCTATGAAAATAACGCGACGGCGGCGGTGCGGTGCGACGTTCTCACTACGCAGTGCGGGGGCGCGGACGATATGTCGGCAGAGGGAGGACCCGGAGACATTGACGTTGTTCCAGGCTGTACGAGAAAAAATACTTCTCATTAGTGCAGCGGTGAGCTATAGAGCAAAGAATGGGAAGCAGTACACACGGTGTTTGGTGTGCTGAAAGCCCGGCTGTCTCAAGCGAACACCGATTTTTGCTGTTCCGCGGGATATTCAGCAGGGACTAGCTTCAGGAAAGCGAGTAAGCTAGCAGCACAGGCTAGCTTCGCAGAGAGCTAGCTGCCTTGTTATTGTGATACCGAAACGAACCTTCCAGCTAGCATCCGTCAGAGGAACACACGGGAAAAATGGTAAGGACAGCTTGTGCGTGCTTTCCATCTAATTTAGCCAGCTTTGTCACTTTGTCGAGGTAGCTAGCGACCCGAGTCGTAGTATGTTACCGAGACCTTGTCACCTGCCTGTCGTTTAAACACAGGGCTGAATTAACGCACGTCTGCAGTTTTAAACGATTTCCTGTCATAATATCGACGGTTTCTTCTGGTAGGGCGTTAATTGTAGAATTAGATGTTCACACTATCTTCCCAATTCTGTTGCATCAACATTTTGCATTAATTCTTTGAAATATTTCAGTATACAGTTGGATGTTTTGACAACTTTAGAGAAAGATAAAGTCACATGGCTCCAGCAAATACGCGGAAATGTCCTTGCTTACTGTACTGCACACTCGGTACAGGGCAATGAGTTCAATAAACATGCATAAAAAGCTCACACGGGATCCTTGAATGATGTAGAGGTGCTGTAATTATTTGAGCCAACGGTTTATCTTAGTTCCTCATCGTGGTAAACATCATGTCAAAGGCCGTGAGCATATTGCCTGCATAGTTCCATCTGACTGTGTGTGTGTGTGTGTGTGTGTGTGTGTGT